TCTTGATCCACTCTCCTGCCAGCCTGAGCTTCTGAGCCTCACCACTTGTGCAGGTTTTGCTGAGCTTCCCAGCTGAGTGTGTGCATGGACCAGGTCTGTGAGACTGGGAGGGTTTCCCTGGGTCTCTATGGCTGGGGGGAGTCTCTGATGACTAATAAGGGTTGAGCATTGGCTGATGATCTTCCCATCCCCTTGCTGCCATGGTTGGCCTTGATAACAAAAGGACTCTGGTTGTGCCAAGTAGGGATGAAATTGGTCTGCTCCTGAGGGGGACAGGCATGAGAAGATGAACACAATCCCCTCCCTGGGAAACCAGAGCCTGGGCAGCACAAGGGCGAGACAGAGAGGGTGAACACAGAAGACACACAGAGCAAGGGGCAGGAACGGGATGGAGTTTCCCATCACTGCTTGCTCTGAGGATTTTGCAGATCATGGCCCCAGACACGTTGGTCTGACGGCATGTGCATGGCAGCACTGAAGAGGTGCAGGAAAGCAGGAACTAAGGGACTCTTGTTCAAAACAGGATTCCCAAGATCTGACCCCCTATGTGCTCTGTTCAGTAGAGCTTGGAATCAGCATCCCCTGATGAAAAAGGTTTTCTGTACCCGGAGCAGAGCTCAGGGTGCCTTTGCCCCACGTGCACGGTCCCATTGCTCCAGGTGTTGGTTTTAGAGGAGGTGAAGGTTTGTGTCGGAGGTGGAGCAGCTGTTGAGGGCAAGGAAAGGGTCAGGGCTGGCCCCAGCACAGGCTGAAGGGGAGGTGGACCTTGGGGCTGACGTGAAATACTGAGCCTGAAAGAAACCAGCCCAGGGATGTCTCAAGCATCGCTTTTGCTGAGTGCTCCACCTCAGCCAAGCCCTTTTCCCCCCAGCACTCCTGGTCCCTGGAAAACCAGGGGCACAGACAGCTTTAATTTCCTAAAAACTAAATCTGGACGACTGTCCTGTCACAAGCAAGACCTTCCCAGGACAGGGGAGAGGCTCCCGCCTCCCCCCATCACCCGCTTCAGTTTCTCCTTGTCCTGAACCCCTTTCCCAGCCCAATTTCCAGCGTAGCCATTAAAAAGCAGCACTTGGTGTCTGCAAGGGTCCTAGCATTTTTTTTTTTTTTAAAGCCATCCTCCCTCCCTTCCTTATTCCCTCACTATTTCTGCTTTTACTGCCAGACTTGTGCTGCTCATAAAGCTCCTGACCCTGGATTTTTGCGAGAGGCGAGAAGCTCAGCTGTCACCTAAAAACTTAAAATATCTTTTGGTCCTTCAGCGTTACAGAAAAGAGCTCCAAGCGTCAGCCGCGGTTTCCAGGCACTTCCAATCCAATCTCTCCCTTTCCCAGAAAGTCAGGGGCCCTTTGCAGATTTATGGGACGATATTAAAGAGATGCTTAAGGTAGAAAACAGCTCTTCCTCTCTGCAATTTTCTTCAGCAGGGAGCAGGTGCTGGAGAGCTGGGCCCTGCCCTGTCTCTCTAATAAAGATGTTAAGCACTCCCGGCTCACCCGTGCAGGGGTGGCCCGGTTATTAATACCTTTTTGTCTTCTTTTTCTCTTCTGTCCAAAGTCCCAGTGAGTTTTGCGACGAGGGGTAATTAACTAGCGATTCTTCTCCAATTTGGCATTGGGCACACACATTTTTTTTTTTTCCTGCTTGTAACTGTCCCAGTCCCGAATGCCAGGCGAATTAAAGAGGTGGAACAATTTCCCACCGGAGTGATGGGGGGGGCAGTGAGCATCAAGAGGAATAGCTCAGAGGTCTTCATCACCCGTTCACACGTGTCCATGTTCCCCATTGCTATTCTTAGGCTGCAGGGGGGGGGTGGGGGTGGCTCAGGGGACCATTATGTAATGCTGACATTATGTGCAATGTTGATCAAATGTCATCATTCAAATCTAACACCGAGTCGGCTGCTTAAAAAATGTCTATTGCTTGCTTAACCATTTTGGGCAGGTTGGTGACCTTGGGACTGGCTTTACCCCACCAGCCCCTTGGAAACCTTGGCCTGCCCCGAGCTCAGCTCACCAGGGGATGCTGGACTTGTTTTTAAGCCCAGTCCTGCTCAGATTCCTATTCCCCACGGCAATAAATGCACTTGGAAACTTAAAAATAAATCCATGAGGATAGAGCTACATAGCAAAATGCTCCTGAGGATCACTGGGATGCCACTAGCGTGGTGACAGCACCCAAAAATACCTGCTGGCTGCCTCTCTGGTGCTGGACAGAGGGGGATTGCGGGTTTGGCGGCACTAAAATGCCAGCAAAGACAGGTACCTAGATACACCTCCGCTCCCAGATCGGTGTTTTCTTGTTGCAGTGAGGTGGGTAGCCGTGTGCTGTGGGTTTGCCTGGCACACGCAGGTCACTCGCAGGACAGCTGCCAACCTCGTGTGGAAGCACACCAGGACACAAAAGTGTTTTTTTCAGGCTGAGACGTCGGTTGACGAAGGCAGTTTCAGCTGGAAGGAGAGGCTCACATTCCCTTGCAATTTAACTGCTCATTCTTGCCTTTGAACATCTCCCCATTAATTTTCGTATTAATGTAAGATACTTAAGAACTCTTGGGTTTGTGCTACAGATTTAGGGCCGGATTGTCAGCACTATGTAAATCAGCAGAGCTCCACTGACTTGCAGATTTGTAATTGGGACAGGTTTTAAGGTTACAGGCTGCGGTAGCGCCGTGACTGAGGCGCAGCACTAGATTTGGAATCGAGGACTCTGTTCGCCTCGCGGTGACTTCTTTAAAAGAAAAAGGCTTTGATTTAGGCAAAAGATATGCTGGGGGTTTTTTTTCCTGCCTGCCTCCCCTGGAAGCGGGCATCCGAGCTGATCGGAATTACACATGCTCATCTGGAATGTGGGGTTTTTGTACGAATGGGAGTCAGCAAAGGATCAGGTGGGAAACGTCAGAGCCTGAGGAAGACAGAGCTCCCTGTGCTCACCGTGACCATGAGCAAAGGACTGAGACAGCTAAAAATATTACTTTACACCCTAATTAAGGTTCCCAGTCCCCCGCTTCCTTCGTGGAGCAGCCTGTGTGTATTCCTCCCCCATCTCAGTGCAAGGTGAGCCGAGTTAACCGAGCCTGCCACAGCACGCTCTCCGGATGGATGCTGATTTTACAGCAAAAGGGAACAGAAGTGGTTGTGGTACCTGAGCAGAGGGGCTGCACGGAGGGAGGGAAGCACATCCGAATACGGCTGGAGCTGCAGGGTTATGGGGTGCAGGACCCGGGGAGGGATGGGCACCCCGAGTCTGACGGAGGTGGCTGCAGACACACAGGGCTCCTGCAGTTCAGTCCCCCCGGCAGCAGAACGCGGCGGGCAGGACTCTGCACACACACGGGGAGCGCAGATCCTTCTGCCTGTGTTTACTTACAGTAATCTCACTTTAAATGGAGAGAAGGGAGTTTGCGTATTTATTTGCTTTGGCAAATTTGCTTGGGAGGACAGAGCTCCCTTGTTTGTTAGGCTGCCAGAATTCATCTCCCCACAGCGCCCAACAGACCAAGGGAGGATACCCTGGGGACAGCTGGATAACACCCAGCTCCTCGTGTTGCTGTCAGGGGCTCTTTCCAGTGACGAGTTTTGCTGGTCCAACAGCCTTGACCGTCCTCTTTTGGATCTGCCTTGCCGCAGCTAGACTTGAAAGCGGCAGGGTATGCCTCATGCGGCTGGCATCCCCTCTGAAACCCGAAGGGTGATGCTCTAAAAATGCCTCTGCTGCCTTGAGAGGCTCAGGCAGCCCTGAGAGGCTGCAGGAGCAGGACTGCGGTTATCAGCCTTT